CCATAATTTTCATATATGCAAATACTCTGAGTCTGAAAAGTAAAATGAATCCCTTAACTGTCTACTAAAATCATTTTTTTTGACAATCATCCAATTTATACAATAAGCAAATTCAATAGCTATAGTCCTTCAGAAAGACAATACCAGATTCATCTAAGCTGATATTTTACATTTGAAAGTGTGGATAATTATTCGTGAATGTGCTACTTGTCCACATAACAATTTACTAAGTGATCATACCTCTTCAATACCAGCTATATTATTCACAGCCAGTTTTTTTAGAGAACTCTGAAGTTTTTTGTCATCAGCTGTAGCTGTTCTATGTACCACCTTCTTCTTTCTGCGCGCTGTACCCTGAAAGATAACCAAACAGAAGTGTTAGCGTGCCATGCATTTGACAACTGCAATCACTTGTCTTCCTTTACATAATATTCTAACTAATATTCTAACATAATATTCATAATATTCTCTCAAGAAACTGCCAACTTCGACTCAATAGTGAGGTGGTGCCACACACAGTAATGACATAATGAAATCTAATGAATGATTAGATGATTAATAAAACTGTCAGCCTAACCCAGATTTTTGAAGGTCAGTTTCTAGCCAATTGTTCTTACTCTTTCCAATATCCAGCCTTTAACATTTTCACATTGTGTTTCAAGAAAATATGTTTCTAATAAAAAAACTTTCTAATAAAAAATAATTTATAATTTCAAGATAATTTAGTGTGCTTTATATCAACTTTCAAACATTATAAGGAATGCTTTTTTTAACAGTGCCTACCACCCCCTGACAATAAAGTCTAAAGATATTCTGAAACTTTGGAGATTATGACATAATTAAGAGTCAAAGGGCTTCCCTGGTGGCACAGTGGTTAAGAGTCTACCTGCCGATGCAGGGGACACGGGTTCGTGCCCCGGTCTGGGAAGATCCCACATGCCGCAAGGCAGCTAGGCCCGTGAGCCATGGCCGCTGAGCCTGCGCGTCCGGAGCCTGTGCTCCGCAACGGGAGAGGCCACAACAGTGAGAGGCCCGTGTACCGCAAAAAAAAAAAAAAAAAAAAAAAGAGTTAAATGCCTATTATGTGAGTGTTCTAGAGTCCTAGAATCCAGGAATGAAAAAGATCAAGTTCTTACTTCAAGGAGCACACATTACAGTGTGAAGGAAAAGTCAATAAATATACAAACAAATTACATCATTTCAAACAGGACAAGGGTATTAAGAAAAAAAATAACATAGTGACAAGAATTATCAGATGGGGTAAAGCACTACTTTATTACAATGTTCAGGGAAGGCCCCTCTGAAGAGGTGACATATGAGCTGAGATCCATGGGAAGACCTAGGGGAAGAGTGATCCAAGCAGAATGAAACAAGAGTGAACCTTTTATTTCTAGAGAAAGCAGGCCAGTATGGCTAGAGCAGAGTAAACAATGGGAAAGGAGGAGGAAAATGAAATCAGAAAGATCGGTAAGGGCCAGATCATGTGGCCTAGAATCCCATGGGCAGGAGTTGGACTTTATTCCAATTGCAATAGGAAGCCATTGGAAGGTTTTAAGCATGAAAATGACTGGATCTGATTTATGATTTTAAAAGATGACTGAGGTTGCTGTGGAAAATGAACTATAATGAAATCAATCAGGAAGCTACTGTAGCAGTCCTGATGAGAAATGAGGGTTGTGGCAGTGGAGATGGTGAGAGCTCAGACTGTCAGAAGAACCAACAGGACTTGCTGATGGACTGGATACGGGATATGAGGGGAAAAAAGGAATCTAGGATGATGTTCAGAATTTTGACCTGAGCAAATAGGTTGAAAATTATACTATTTACTGAGATAGGAAAAGTTCATTTCTAAATGGATACTTTGAAACTCTAAATACATTTTTTTCCATTGAAAAACTATTTAAAACAATGAATTAAATTCCTGAGCCAATTAAAAAAAAATGTAACCTAAAGCAGGGCTGAAACACTGCCAAGAGCAGTCTATATCTTGAGGGCTAAATCTTTCTGAGACCTGGCAGGAATAAAGAAAAAGGAAAGGAGGTTTCAATCTCTGGGTAGCTCCTGCAGTATTACTCAGGCAATCAGGCTTATAGAGGGTAGGCAAGAGCCTCAGTCTCAGCAACTCTGGTGGGAGTAGAAGAGAGTCCTGTGGGTAGCAGCAGAGGTTGTAATGAAATCCAGTTAAAGGATGAACTAAGAGTGACTCTTTACATAGATGGCCATTTATTTATGATGTGTTCCTGACTCAGGGATAGCTCAAATGCTTGCTGGATACAACTCAAATGATCCTCACGCACCCCAAAGTCAACATGCCTGAAAGCTTATCAGTCCACCAAACTACTCTTCTTATATTTCCTAAGTTTTGTAGCTCTAAAACCAGACATTTGGAGGTCATCCCAGAATCCTCTCACCCGTTCATCCCCCATATTCTATTGGTCATTAAATTGTGTCATATCCAGTCCCTGAATTTGTGTCCTACATACTACAGCAGTAGCTTCTCGATTGTTCTCCTCTATGCCAAACTTATTTTCATTTTCCACAATGCTGGCAGCTATCTTTTAAAATGACTGTTATTTCCTTCTTAAAATTCTACAGTAGTTTACTGTTGCTCTTGCCTATAGGATAAAATCCGAGTCTCCCTAGTATGGCATACAAAACTATGATCTAACCCTAAATTACCTGGTTGTTTCACTTGCTACCATTCTTTATCCATTATTTACTCTAAACTCTAGCTATAACAAACTAAAGCAAGCTGTTCCATTAAGCACCATGCTATCTCAGCATCCTATGGGCCTTTGCATGTGTGAGAATGACAATCCCCCCTTCACCCTACCCACTTATCCTTGCACCTGTTCTTGTTTATTCTTCAAATCTCAGCTCAGTGATGATGTCCTTATCTCTCCTAGGCAGGAGCACCTTGTACTTCATTTTAACATTTACTATTCTGTAGTGGAATTGTATGTCTCTCTTCCAAGCTGAACTGTGTCAAGAGCAGGAAACCTTGACTTATTTATGTACTGTGTGCTTGGCCCATAGTACATTCTCAATAAATCAGCTGAATGAATGTGTCAACTATCTGGTTTAAAATATATAATAGTGATGTGCTGCATCAAGCTCTTACAGGTATATTCTATGGTTCTTGAATATTCCTAGTTTTTGCACTGGTACATTACATTACACTTGCTGCTACAATGTGACTAGTACTTTGGTTATAGGAATGTGTTAATGACTCCAGAGTCATATAACTGTATCACTATGAAAGAAGGAGAAAGTACTAGTTGTTTCTCCCCTTCCCCATCTCCTGTCCCCATCCCCAGAAACTGTGGTTATCATCAAAGTAAATGACACAGTGGGGCTGCTACATAGTGTCCTACCTACCCCCTCCCTAGGTCTGAGGTAAATACTATTCATGCTTTTCCTTTTACAAAGATTGCATTGGGCAGAGATAAAGGTAGAATATTCTCCTTGAGCCTGAGGCTGGAGCTGAAGGGAATCAAAGATTTTCAGTGTTCAGAACTAGATCATCCTTAGGCTTCAAAGTACATGGAAAAAGAATGCTTATGTTCATATTCACCAACATAGACAAATAGGAAGGAATTTGGGAGGAAAACCTAGCAATGAACAATGTACCATCAACTTAAGCATGCCCCATTGTAAACCTAACTGAAGCAGTAGGGGCATCCAGTCAAGATAACCTTAATATCTGGGATGCCCTGAGGGTGAGTCTAACATAATAGCTGTCATTTATTAAGTGTTTAGTCTGTGCCAGACACTGTTTTAGGTGTTTTAGAAATATTACTCTATCTTTAGAAGCATCTTATATAGGATTACTTTTGTTTTGCAGATGCGAAAATGGAAGCTTAATAAGGTTGGTTAACTTGTTCATATCATATAACCACCAGATGTTAAGAAGACTCAAAGGTGGCTATTTCAATTGCACCATCAGAGAGAGAGATCTTCTAATTACCTATTTTAGATCTAGACAAATTATTTTCAAATTGGAATGTGGTTTAATCTTGATTGTTTAAAAGATTTTAGATTTTCAATGACCACAAATCCAAAATAATGACACTGTCTGGTAATAATACATTCTCCTATCAGTTTTTCTTATGCCACACTCACCTTGCCCCCTATCCGGACCTGAGCCTGAAGTTTGGCTAACTTTTCTTGATTCATGCTGTTGGTAAATCTAGGGGGGGAAAAATAAATTTGTTAAAGTCACTGTTTTATTTACCAAAACAAAATAACTGTTTATACAACAGTACCTTCTGGTTCACTGAACCTGTAATATGCATCACCACCACAATCATATTGTCTATATTCTTAAAAATATTAATAACTTGTCCTAGCTTCATAAGCCAGACAGTAAAAAATCCAAAATTAATACCAAGAGGGAGCTGAATTTACAAACAGAAAATAGAATGGGATTCAAAGTTACCTATTCGAAGATCCCTCCTTAAAAGCATGATTCAGTACTTTGGCATTCAATAAAACCTAACCAATTATGAAATCTCTGCAAGCCAGTTTTTCCCCCAAAGATGTTCACAGCAGAGAGCTGTTACCAAATTAGCACAACCTTTAAGTAAACATTTTTCTCTCAAATCACATTTTGCATTTCTTTAAACCATAAATAGAAGACAAAAAAAAAAAAGAAAGAAAGAAAAAAAGAGAAAAGAAAAGAAATCTGGACAAAGAAAAAAATACAACAATAGGCTGTGTAGCTGTCAAGATGTGAGGTAGTCACGTCCTCTATTCAAGGTCAGGTGGTATGTTAATAATAGGAAAAGAGAACCAGATTTTCAGACATTCAATGCTTCTGCAGCACTTTCCACAGAGTTCATTCAATATCTTGCACTAATATAATATGTCATACTTGTCAAGATATTCTTGCATATAAGGTAAAATGCCTCCTTGCACAATTTGACAAAAACCTATCTCTGCTACATTGATGCTAAATTTTGTGGGGAGGAGGGGAAGAGGAAACTCTTAAAAATAAACTTTTAAAGGCTAATCTTGATTTTGAAAACTCTAAGACCATTATAAAGTCATGAATCCTACTCTGGTCAGTCCTTTCCTACTAAGGAAAAAAGTTCTTCAGTTTATAATGGGCCATAACATTCCACACTATGTAAACAAATAAAAGCCAACGTTAAAAGTCTTGTTTTACTTGTTCTTGGATCAACAGAACATTACTGAGATATGAGAGAGGGAATAAAGGATAAGGGTGTTGTCAAAACTTTTTGGCTGCTTCTCTAAACTCTTTATAATCATCATTCAGATGAAAAAGCTACTGTTTTCTTCATTTCAGAGATGAAAGAGAATCAAAGATTATGTAAGTACTAATCGTTCCGTACTCTGACACTGTACTTAGGCACTAACCTGTATATCTCTCTGCTTTAAGGCCAAAGTCCAGTTCCTAAATAACAATTAGAATTTATGATTTCTCAGTCTTTACTCAGTACTGTATCACAATGCTCAAGCAGCTAAAACACTCTTTCACAGGAGCAAGTGTGATTAGAGTACAAAATCAGACTTAGGTGTGTGGCAATCTCAACTCTGCCACAGACTTAAATCTGCTGATGTAAATCCCAATCTCTACATTCAGTATCTACAGAAAAGGACCAATATTCACTTCTCTCAAAGGAATGTGGCCACGAAGGTGTAGTGAACTAACAAAGAGCCTAAGGAATTTTTTACAAAAAAAAGGGGATAAGTGAAAATATTAGAACCAGACACAGGGTAAACCTTTTGGGACTCTTAGGCATTTTGAAGTAACAATCCCCAAGAGAAGAGGTGGAAGCCAAAAATTTGTTTGAAACAAAGCAAGAACAAAATTAACTCTTTATATCAATGTGTAGACAAGAAAGAACAGAGTCCATTCCAGATAATCAGTATAACAGAAAACTTGTTCCCAAGGAGTATCTCAGAGAAAAAAGCATTTTAGGGAGGTTGGAAGCTCAAGGTTGGTAGGGGAGGAAGAAGAGTGGTCCCTTGTCTACTAGCAGGTTGGGGGTGCATGGAATTCAAGTAGGAAATTAGACTGGACTCAGTCTGTGAGAGAAGAGATTTCAAGCTCAGAATTTGGAATAGACCTCAAAGATCACCTGCTTTAACTCCCTATTCCTCAATCAACCTTCATTTTATTGTACCCATTATTTCTGTCTTGTACATGCAGCCATCTCAAATACTTGCAAGCAGCAGCAGGGTATAAATTATAAATAAATAAAAGTTCACCTCCCTCCCAATTTAATAGATTTGGAAATGAGGGCCCAGAAGGGAGAAGTCACTTCCTAAGGCCTTATGATTAGTGAGTTCTTCCTTGGGGATCCTAGGATCTTTTAGCCCTTTCCTCAAGGAATCACGAAAAGATGCAAATAATGAGGTTATAATCAACATTTATTGAGTGCCTAAGTTCCAAGCATTATGGTGGGCACTTTCACATACACCATGTTCACAAAGAGATAAAATAATTTCAATCTTTAATCCTGACTTTTTATTTTGTGGGTTACTCTATCTAATAAGAGAGGCACAGGCTTTGGAATCAGAAGGATCAAGTTTCCACCACTTAGGGCTTCAGAACGGTATTTTACTTCTCTGAACTTCTATCCCTTCCGTATTAGAAACAGTGTAACACCACATACTTCACAGAGTTGTTTTAAGAGTTAAAGATTAAGGTATCAAGCACAGGGTAAGGCTCACAGCAGATACTCAGAAACTGGTAACTATTGTTACCATTCCCTAAGGGACAGATCTGGTAGAGTGAAAGAACGTGGGAACGGAAGTTGAAACCTCCATTCACGAGCTGTGTAACACTGCCCGTCGGTCAATCATCAACTTCCTGACAGCCTACTATGCATCAGGCAGTGTGATGGGGCTATAAAGATGGACAAGGCAATGTCTCAGAGAGGGTGGCAGACTTTAAACAAACACTGCCATTACGAGGTGAAGAGCGGGGCAACGGAATTCCTCCCAGAGACCCTAATTCAACCAGGAGCTGATTGAGCATCTACTCAGGCAAGGCCACAGTGGTGGGTACTAGACTAACTCCCCCTCTCCCTTCCGTTCCTTTCTGTCCCTGCTGGTTGGAATTTCTTGAGCAAGGGTTTCATTCACGGGGGCCCCTGGGTCTAGCGTGGGGCTGGCCCTGGGAAGTGCCCAGCCGGGGAAAACCTTCATCATGCCCTGGTCAGGGGGCTGGGACTGCTAGCCTCAGTTTCCCTATCTGTCTAGTGGGAGGATCAAACGAGATGACAGCGGATAGGCTGTATAAAGCTCACAAGCACTATTGTTGTGAATAATGAAGAATAACAGGACAGAGGCGGGGGACCACCTGCCTCCTGGGACTGGATCTGGGCTGCAACAGCGCAGGCCCGCTCGCCCACAGAAAGCGGTGGTGCTGGGGACCTTCCCTCAGGTGCCGACCCCCAGCTGCGCCGCCGGTAACCGAGAGGCCAAGCCAGCCGCCTCCGCCCCCACTCGGCACGCCACAGCGGAAGTGGCAGCCCCAGCAGTTGGCGGGTGTCGGCAGAAAAGGGCGGGGGGAGACCGTGCGCAGCGGCCTAAGGCCGTGGAGTGGCGGGACCGCCGGGGGTCTCACCTGAAGCAAGAAGGGTCCTCCAACACCAGCACGCGGCAAGAGCAAGATGGCTACCTCAGTCGAGACAGAGAAAGACGAAGGCAGCCGCGGCGGCGGGAGTCGGTCCCACGTGACACATCCGGCCCCGCCTCTCTCTCACCAGAGCTACCTATCCCGGGAGCCCATATACGAACTACAAAGCCCAGGCTGCTCTGCGCCTCCCAATAGAAAAGCGGCAGGTGCAGGTGGCCGCGCTGCATCCTGGAGCTTGCAGTCTCCCTGGTGTTCCATTGTGTCCGTGCCTGCAGTTTGTAGGGAGCCTAATAAAAGGGCTGTGTGTATTTTTGTTTGGGGGTCTACTTTTGCCGGATGTCTTTCACTAGGAATTAAGTACGCACTGTCGAACTTAACTAGTGCGGACTCACGAGTGTGCAGACTCAACTAGTCTCCACTCAGGAGACACGGGAAATTTTGACCTGTTTGTTATGCATCAGAGAGGAAAACCGAGAAATACTTAACCCACGAATTTTAAAAACAACAAAAACAAATAGATTTAACCAGAAGAAGCTTTACACTTTAAGTGCCTGCAGTAACTTATGTCTTGGTGCCCTGAAGAGCTAGGTCAATTTTGCAATGAGAGGTTCCAAGTTTGGTTTCCTCAGAGCTTGCATCAGTTGATTGCATCATCCCTGAGTGGAAGAATGTGGGTTACAAGGAAAAATAAGGTGCAGTGCTTCTTCTCCAGCAGGAAGGGGCATTCTTGCAGGCACGGGACCATGCACCGCAGAACAGACTTGCCAGGTCTCCGAGACTCGAGCAGGAACCTAAGAATGAAATCCGGTTGTCTGCCTTTTTTTCATTTGCGAAGGGGGAGGGGGGACCCGAAGCCAATGGGCACCCCGCCCACTGTTGGGTGCTGCTGACTTCACAGATGAATAATTTGCGTAGTGAATATTAAGTAAGCGGTTTTTTGGGGGAGGGGCTAGCCCGCAGGCGGACGCAAGCAACGGATGCAAGCAGCAACGGTTCTCCCGAGCCTCCTCCCCAACCCCCCACTATCTCGGCCCATCTTTTCTCTCGGTACTCGGACTGAAAGTCCGGAACCTGGGGAAGCAACTAGCGCTCAAAAGCAGCCCCCGCAGCCTTCTTCGTGATCTGCACCTTTAAACTCTCACTCCGTCCCAAACCGGACCCCGGAGGCACCACCCACATCCGTCTAACATCACTTCCTTCAGGGTTAGAAAAAAAAAAAAATCTGGGAACAGGAGCGGATGGGCTGAGCAGCACTTGGGAAACCGCGCGGACTTTCTGCTAGGGCTCGGGCCCTACGTCTGCTCAGCCCCGTGGCTCCGCGCACCTACCACCATGGAGCTGCGGCCTCGTCTCGGAGCCACCTGTTTGCTGGGCTTCAGTTTCCTGCTCCTCGTCACCTCTTCTGATGGACATAATGGGCTTGGAAAGGGTCAGACCGCGTTCTTATCTTAATCTTTACTTATCCTGGGCACCAGCCCAGTACAACCCTCTTCTTTTTCTAACATGATCCCTTTCCCATTTTATCTCTGTGGCCACGCTAGATTTCTTTTTATCCTCTCGAACTGCTCCTGGAATTTGGGGTGAGGAGTAGCGGGTCTGGGGAATGTTGAGACGGGGAAGTTTTACTTGAGGCCTCCCTGAATTCTTGGGTTGGGGTAAGGAATTTACCTTATATTAGGAAAAGCATGTTTAAGAGAGCAGCATAGTGCCTAGCACTTGGTAGGTCCTCAGGCACCGTTACTTTCCCTCCTGGGGGAAATAGGACCTTTGGGGACCTGTATATTTAGACTCCTCACCTCTTCTTTTAAGAGCTAGGTTACTGCTTCCTTACCTTGGAGCGAACAGCACCTGTATCCTAGGGAGGGGTGACTGGCGCAAAAGGAAGGGCCAGATGAAGGGTCAAATGTCTGATGTTAGAAACCGCAACGAAGAGTAGCCCCCCGGCTCGCCGCGACTAGAGAAAGTCCGCACACAGCAACGAAGACCCAATGCAGCCAATATATATATATAAGGCTCAGTTCATTTTGGGGAAAATGTCTGCCAAACACCCTGGTTGGAATAACCATAGTTATTTGGTGGCAAGCTCAGCTTGCAGCTCAATCATACAAGAGCTTTTTCCCTCAAAACAACCAGGGAACTTTGGCGAACAGTAGAAGGTCACCAACAGTTGTTCCTGGTTCCTTGGTGTGGTTCAGTAGGTGTGTCTGAAGAAACTGAGTTTTTCTGAAGAGTGAGGGGGCAGTGGTTATGAATGGAGAATAAGAGGTGTGACCCCCTACTCCATCCATCCCATTACCTACATCTTTATTGGAACTCAGGGTTTTATGCTTTTTCTAAGTGGTTGTGTGGTAGCATGCATTCCTCTCCCTTTCCTTTTTTTTTTTTTTTTTGTAGTGACATTGCTGTATGGAATGTCTCTGCTGCAATCCTGCTGTTGTTAATTGTGTTTTATCCTCCTTATTTGCACATTTATTGGTGGGTGATGAGATTGGGTGGAGGTTCAGTGTGCCTGAATGCAGTCAGTCCTTCATTCAGTAAATAATTTTTGATCACCAACCGTATTACAGGCATGGTCCTAGGCACTAGAGATGTATCAATGGATAGGACAGACAAGGTTCCGCTCTCACAAAGCTTATATTCAATTCAGAGAGCCAGAGAGTAGATACATGAACAAATTAATAGGCAAGATAATTTCAGCTAGGGATGAGTTCTGGGAAGAAAATGGAAGTGATGGAGTAGAAAGGCTGGGGAAGGATGAGGGAGCTGGCATTACTTGAGCTAGGAAGGTCAGGGGAGACTTCTCTGAGGAGGTGACATGTGGGTTTCCATCTCAATGATGAAACTGCACAGTGAATTCTGTTGAGCCAGAATGTTTTAAGTACTGACAGTCCCATTTTAAAGCAGATTATTGTATATTTAGGTTTTTTTGTGTGTGGTATGCAGGCCTCTCACTGTTGTGGCCTCTCCCATTGCGGAGCACAGGCTCAGGACGCGCAGGCTCAGCAGCCATGGCTCACGGGCCCAGCCGCTCCGCGGCATGTGGGATCTTCCCGGACCAGGGCACGAACACATGTTCCCTGCATCGGCAGGCGGACTCTCAATCACTGCGCCACCAGGGAAGCCCAGATTATTGTATATTTAGTGTAAAATTGTACTGAAGGAGACAGAAGAGTGTAGTGTTAGGAGTGTGGGTTTAGATTTGAGTTTTAATTTATTCTGCCACTAACCAGCTGAGAGGCCGAGGGCAAGTTGCTAAACTTCTCAAAGCTCAGTTCCTCATCTGCAAAAGGGGCAGAATAATAACTACCTCAGACACGCAACAAATAATTTACCCTGTTCCAGTTTACTGTGTTAGGTGTAGGCAATACCTTGGAGTCACGTATTCAGTATTCCTTGTTAGACATTAAGCTCTATGTGGTTGTTCCAGTTACCACTGCTGCATTATAAACCACCCCCAAATTCAGTGGTGTAAAGAAATCATTTTATTATGCTCACGATTCTGTGGGCTAGGAATTCAAACAAGGCACAGTGGGGAAGGTATATGTCTTGGATCCAAGTCTGGGGCCTCAGCTGAGCTGGTTACTTCTGTGTGTGGTCTGTCTGCATGGGCTAGTGTGGGCCTCCTCACCATATGACAGCTAGATTCCAAGAGTGAGTGCCCTAAGAGAACAAGGTGGAAATGCATGGCACTTTTATCATCTAGCTGTACAAGTCAAATAGCATCACTTGCACTGTACTCTGTGGGCATGTTCAAGGGCAAGGGACATTAACCACACCCCCCTCCATCCCCCATGGGAGGAATGTTGAGGTCCCATTGTAAAAAGAGCCTGTGGAATGGGAGATATTTTTGCAACCACCTTTGGAAAGTACAGACTGCCCCAGTAAGGTAGGACCATTTCTGTCTTATTCGTGCCCAGGAATATTTGTTGAAAGAAGAAATGAATGGTACACATGATGGTTGAGATTCTTGTCTTTTTCAGCTCATAGTCTGAAGACTGTCAGGACAAGTAAGCAGGCAATTACATGACACTGTGATATGTACTGTAAGCAGGGAAATAGCAGGTAACTTAGGAGCATATAGAAGGGCAACCTGGTTGGGGGGGGCTGTGTTGTGAGGATTAAACAAAAGAACAAAAGGTATTTAATATGTGTCACAAACTTAGAAAAGTGTTTATTTAATGTTTATTATTATATCCTCCCAAAGAAGAATATTGAATTGTTCCTGAAAGGAATTAATAATATTTCAAACTGTTTTTGTTTGTTTTTGTTTTTTGTGTCTTGTGAGCGTGGTTTCTTGGAAAATAGATTACAGCTTACCACCCACCTCCCAAAAAAGTGCTACCTGGAGCAGTGATGAGTAAGTTTTCTTCCCAGATGTTTAAGTAGTTTTGACTCTTTCCAGAAGATGGCCTGGTGGTTTGCAGAGAGGAGAGACGGAATGACCCTAGTGTTTTCATTAAGAAGAGGAGGTACAGTGGTGTGGTGTGAGCACTGGATAGAAATCAGGAGGCCTGAGTTTTAATCCTGGTCAGACTATATAGCCAGCTCTCGTCTTCCCTGGGGATCATTTATTACATGAGAGAACTGGGACTAGAAATGATTCCTAACAGTCCTTCCAGCTCTAACATCCTAGAGTTCTAAAATAATTTTGTTGTTTTCCGTGTGCTAAAAATTTGGAATATGTATCACCTGTGGGGAGGAGTGTAATGATTAACATTTACTGTATATTTGCTGTATTCCAGGAACCGTTCTGTGCATTTTTCGTGTATTGACTGGTTTAATCCTCATAATAACCCTCTAAGATAGATAATATTTTTTTTTCCTTGTGAAGTTGACATTTTATTAAATAAATATTTTCATTCATTAAGATATTATATTTTCAATATTTTATTACAGTAGTTTTCAAACACATAGCAAAGTTGAAAGAATTTCGCAGTGGACCCCCTTATGTCTACCTCCCAGGTCTACCATTGATGTCTGACTATCCTTGTCCTATCATGTCTCTCTCCATGTAGTCATCTATCCATGTGTAAATCCATTTTTTTCTTACAGCATAGA